GGGGTGTCCCCAGGGGTGTCCCCAGGGTGTCCCCAGGGTGTCCCCAGGGGTGTCCCCAGGGTGTCCAGAGTGTCTCCAGGGATGTCTGGGTGTCCCCAGGGGTGTCCCCTGGGTGTCCCCTGGGTGTCTTGGGGTGTCCCTGGTGTCCCCAGGGGTTTCCCCAGAGGTGTCCGGGGCTGTCCCCAGGGTGTCCCCACGGTGTCCCCTCTGTCCCAGGGTGTCTGAGAGTCCCCAGGGGTGTCCCAGGGTGTCCCCAGCCTGTCCCGGGCTGTCCCCAAGGTGTCCCCAGGGTGTCCCTGGTGTCCCCAGGCTCTCCCAGGGCTGTCCCGGTCCTGTCCCGGGCTGTCCCGGTCCTGTCCCCGGTCCTGTCCCGGTCCTGTCCCGGGCTGTCCCGGTCCTGTCCCGGTCCTGTCCCGGTCCTGTCCCGGTCCTGTCCCGGTCCTGTCCCGGGCTGTCCCCCCCTCCCCCCCCGGTCATACCTCGGACTCGAGGCTGGAGAAGTGGGCGGAGCCTCTGCGCGCGCCCAGCGGCCCCGCCCCCCCGCGCGCCCCCGCGCAGCCGTGCTGGGCGGGTGGGGGAGGGGACGGAGGGGGGTCCTCGGCGCTGCAGCAGCTGTACATGCCCTGGGGGGGGGGACAGGGACACGGTGGCACTGGGGGGGCAGTGCGGGGGGGGCACTGCGTGTCCCCATGTGCCCCTTGTCCCCTGATGTGCCCCAATGTCCCCATGTCCCCTCCCCGTGTCCCCGAATGTCCCTTTGCCCTCCAATGTCCCCATGTCCCCACAATGTCCCCAATGTCCCCAGTATCCCCTCAATGTCCCCAATGTCCCGAATGATGTCCCCAGTGTCCCTTCCCTGCTGATGGCCAGCAGGCAGCGCAGCCGCCCCGCTGTGCCCAGTGTCCCCAATGCCCTCAATATCCCCAATGTCCCAAATCCCCCCAATCCCCCTGCTGTGCCCAGTGTCCCCAGTGATGTCCCCAATGTCCCCAATGTCCCCAATTGTCCCCTACCCTGCTGATGGCCAGCAGGCAGCGCAGCCGCCCCGCGCTCCCCAATGTCCCAATGTCCCCAATCCCCTCAGTGTCTCCAATGTCCCCAATGTCCCCAATTGTCCCCAAATCCTCTCGATGTCCCCAACTGTCCCCTACCCTGCTGATGGCCAGCAGGCAGTGCAGCCGCCCCCATGTCCCCAATGTCCCCAATTGTCCCCAATTGTCCCCAATTGTCCCCAATTGTCCCCAATTGTCCCCAATTGTCCCCAATTGTCCCCAATTGTCCCCAATTGTCCCCAATTGTCCCCAATTGTCCCCAATTGTCCCCAATTGTCCCCAATTGTCCCCAATTGTCCCCAATTGTCCCCAATTGTCCCCAATTGTCCCCAATTGTCCCCTACCCTGCTGACGGCCAGCAGGCAGCGCAGCCGCCCCGCGCTGCCCAGGTGCCGCAGCTTCCAGTGCACGAGGTGCTCCCAGGCGAAGACGAGCAGGCTGAGCCCCATGGCCACCAGCAGCATGTAGAACACCCCGGCCATGTTGTCGATGTCCAGCTTGCTGCTCATCACCTCCAGCTTCTCCTGGTGGCAGATCCCCGACAGCCAGAGCCGCTCCAGCATCTCGATCTCGTGCGTCTCAGGTGGGTTGGGGGGATCTTGAGGGGGTTAGGGGGTGTCTTAGGGGGTTAGGAGGCATCTCAGGGGGGGTTTGGGGACATCTTGAGGGGGTTTGGGGGCATCTCAGGGCACTTTGAAGCTCATCTTGTGAGGTTGAGGGGACACTTGAAGGTGTTAGAGGGTCCAAAACCCCTCCAGGACCCCCAGACCCACCAAAGACCCTCCAAAACCCCTCTGGGACACCCAAAATTCCCACAGGACCTCCCCAGACGCAGGAGCTGGAGCAGGACCAGGTCCTTGGGGTGTTTCCAGTGGGACCACCTCTGCAGGGCGATGCCGTAGGGACCCAAAACCCCCAAAAACACCCCTAAAAAATCCCCAGAGACCCCAGACCCACCATCCCCCAGGAGCTGGAGCAGGGCCAGGTCCTTGGGGTGCTTCCAGCGGGACCCCTGCTGCAGGGCGATGCCGTAGGGACCCAAAAACCCCCAAAAAACCCCAAAAAACCTCCCAAAAAACCCCAAAACCCCCTCAAAGACCCCCCAGAGACCCCAGACCCACTGTTGCCCAGGAGCTGGAGCAGGGCCAGGTCCACGGGGCGCTTCCAGCGGGACCCCCGCTGCAGGGCGATGCCGTGGGGACCCAAAAAACCTCCAAAAAACCCCAAAACCCCCTCAAAGACCCCCGAGAGCCCCCAGACCCACCGTCGCCCAGGAGCTGGAGCAGGGCCAGGCCCTGGAGGCGCTTCCGGGGGACCCCCGCTGCAGGGCGATGCCGTAGGGACCAAAAAACCCCCCAAAAAACCCCAAAAAACCTCCCAAAAAATAAAAAAAAATCCCCAAAGACCCCCGAGAGCCCCCAGACCCACCATCCCCCAGGAGCTGGAGCAGGGCCAGGTCCACGGGGCGCTTCCAGCGGGACCCCCGCTGCAGGGCGATGCCGTGGGGACCCAAAAACCCCCCAAAAAAACCCCAAAAAACCTCCCAAAAAATAAAAAAAAATCCCCAAAGACCCCCGAGAGCCCCCAGACCCACCATCCCCCAGGAGCTGGAGCAGGGCCAGGTCCACGGGGCGCTTCCAGCGGGACCCCCGCTGCAGGGCGATGCCGTAGCCCGTGGAGGCGAAGACCTTCCCCGAGCCGATGGTGACGAGCTTGCAGCCCTCCTCCTTGCGGGCCATGTAGTTCAGCACGGCCGCGTCGTAGATGAAGGCGTCCAGCTTCCTGAGGGACACGCCCACCGCGCTCGGCCACGCCCACCGCCCGGAGACCACGCCCACAGCACAGAAACCCCGCCCACGGGCTCACCTGTGCACTTAATGCTGCTGCTGTGCCCCGCCCACGGACTGTAGGCCACACCCACAGCCTCACCTGTGCCCCGCCCACAGCTGATAGGCCATGCCCATGCCAAACAGGCTCCGCCCACAGCACCTAAACCCCGCCCACAGCCTCACCGGTGCACTCAATCTTGCCCCTGTGCCCCGCCCACAGCCTGTAGGCCACGCCCACAGCACATAAACCCCACCCACAGCCTCACCTGTGCCCCACCCACAGCCTATAGGCCACGCCCAGGCACATCAGGCTCCGCCCACAGCACTTAAACCCCGCCCACAGCCTCATCTGTGCCCCACCCACAGCCTATAGGCCACGCCCAGGCACATCAGGCTCCGCCCACTGCACCTAAACCCCGCCCACAGCCTCACCTGTGCACTCAATCTTGCCCCTGTGCCCCGCCCACAGCCTGTAGGCCACGCCCATGCACACCAAGCTCCGCCCACAGCCTCACCTCTGCATTAAGCCCCGCCCACAGTGTAACACGTGGTGTTGCCAATACCCCTAAGCTCCGCCCACCTCGAGATGATGTCATTGTGGCTCCACCCACAGCCTCAGCTGTGCACTAAGCCCCGCCCACAGGATCAGCCCTGGTGCTGTCAATCCCCACAAGCCCCGCCCATCCCCTACAGGCCACGCCCACATGCTATAAACCACGCCCTGTGCATGAAGCCCCGCCCACAGGTGGCAAATATGTAATCAGGCCACGCCCACAAAAGCCACACCCAATCGCATAAATTATTCATCAGCCACGCCCATTTAGCCTCAGGCTCCACCCACTGCCATAAAGCCCCATTTTCTCCTCGTAACCCCCCTTATTTCCCCATTTTCCCAATTTTCCCATTTTCCCCCCATTTCTCCCCCATTATTTCCTCATTTTCCCCCATTTCCCCCCATTTTCCTGTGTTTTCACCCCATTATTTCTCCATTTCTCCCCCATTCCCCATTTTCCCCCATTATTTCCCCATTTCTCTCCCATTATTTCCCCGTTTTCCCCAATATTTCCCCATTTTCCCCCATTTCCCCATTTCTCCCCCATTTTTCCCCATTTCCCCGTGTTTTAACCCCATTATTTCTCCATTTCTCCCCCATTTCTCCCCCATTTCCCCCATTATTTCTCCATTTCTCCCCCATTTCCCACATAATTTCCCCATTTCTCCCCCATTTTTCCCCCATTTCCCCCCTGTTTTCACCCATTATTTCCCCATTTTTCCCCATTTTCACCCCAATTTTCCCCCATTTTACTCCATTTTTCCCGTTTTCACCCAATTTCTCCCCATCATTTCCCCATTTCTCCCCCATTTTTCCCCATTTCTCCCCCATTTTCTCCTGTTTTCACCCCATTTTTCCCCATTTCTCCCCCATTTTCTCCTGTTTTCACCCCATTTTTCCCCATTATTTCCCCAATTTCTTCTCCATTTCCCCCCATTTTTACCACGTTTTCCCCATTTTTCCCATTTTCACCCATTATTTCCCCATTTTCGCACGTTATTTCCCCATTTCTCCCCCATTTTTCCCATTTTCACCCCATTTTCCCCGTTTTCACCCCATTTTACCCCATTTCCCCCCGTACCCGGTTTTGAGGTGCTGCAGCGCGTCCTCCACGCCGCGCTGGTTGTAGCGCACCATGTAGCTGTGCATGGCCGGGTAATTGCTGCGGATGTTCTTCTCCGTGCTGCCGTTGGGCACCGTGCCGAACTTCAGCGGGGGGTACTGCTCCTGGGGCCGCTGGAACTGCGCCAAATCACCCCAAAATCACCCCAAAAATCCATGGGAACCGGCAAAAAACCAACTGGGCCAACAGCGACCCAAAAGTGACACCCAAAAGTGACACCACAACCTCAAAAACATCTCCTGAACTTCAGCGGGGGGTACTGCTCCTGGGGCCGCTGGAACTGCGCCAAATCACCCCAAATCACCCCAAAATCACCCCAAAAATCCATGGGAACAGGTAACAACAGACCTGGGCCAACAGCGACCCAAAAGTGACAGCACATCCCCAAAAACATCTCCTGAACTTCAGCGGGGGGTGCTGCTCCTGGGGCCGCTGGAACTGCGCCCGAACACCCAAATCACCCCAAAATCACCCCAAAATTCACATCAGAAACCCCAAAAATCCATGGGAACCGGCAAAAACACAGCTGGGCCAACAGCGACCCAAAAGTGACACCCAAAAGTGACACCCCGAAGTGACCCTCTTGGTGTCCCCCTGGTGTGCCCCCAGTCTCAGTGTCCTCCTGGTGTCCCCTCAGTGTCCCCCCATTTTCTCCCCCCATTTTCTCCCCACAGTCTCCCCCAAGTGCTGCCGTTGGGCACTCTCCTGAACTTCAGCGGGGGGTACTGCTCCTGGGGCCGCTGGAACTGCGCCCGAACACCCAAATCACCCCAAAATCACCCCAAAATTCACCTCAGAAACCCCAAAAATCCATGGGAATGGGCAAAAACACAGCTGGGCCAACAGCGACCCAAAAGTGACACCCAAAAGTGACACCCCGAAGTGACCCTCTTGGTGTCCCCCTGGTGTGCCCCCAGTCTCAGTGTCCTCCTGGTGTCCCCCTCAGTGTCCCCCCATTTTCTCCCCCCATTTTCTCCCCACAGTCTCCCCCAATGTCCCCCCGATGTCCCCCCCAGTGTCCTTCCAGTGTCCCCCCATTTTTTCCCCCAATGTTCCCCCAGAGTCCCGCTGGTCTTCCTCAGTGTCCCCCCATTTTCTCCCCCAGTGTCCCCCTGGTCTCGCCAATGTCCCCCCCAGTCTCCCCCCATTTTCTCCTCGCAGTCTCCCCCATTTTCCCCCCCAGTCTCCCCCCATGTCCCCCCTGATGTCCCCCAATGTCCCCAGGTGTCCCCGCGCGTCACCTTGCGGTCGCTGAGGCCGGACACGGTGTCCACGTACTCCTCCTGGATCATGAAGGCCGCCAGGTTGGCGGTGTAGCTGGCGAGGAAGATGACGGCGAAGAAGGCCCAGACCAGCACCATGATCTTGCTGGTGGTGCCCTTGGGGTTCTCCACCGGCACCGAGTTGTTGAACACCAGCGCCCACAGCAGCCAGATGGACTTGCCGATGGTGAAGGTGGAGCCGCCCGCGCCTGGGGACAGGGGACAGGGTCACACAGTGTCACCTGGGGTCACCCAGAGTCACCCGGGGTCACCCAGGGACAGGGGACACCATGGGGTGACACAGGGACAGGGGACACCAACAGCAGCCAGATGAACTGGCCGATGGTTGAAGGTGGAGCCGCCCGCACCTGGGGACAGGGGACAGGGTCACACAGGGTCACCCGGGGTCACCCAGGGACAGGGGACACCATGGGGTGACACAAGGACAGGGACAGGGGACACCAACAGCAGCCAGATGAACTGGCCGATGGTGAAGGTGGAGCCGCCCGCGCCTGGGGACAGGGGACAGCAGGACAGGGTCACATGGGGTCACACGGGGTCACACAGGGTCATACAGGGTCATACAGGGACAGGGGACACCGTGGGGTCACACAGGTGACACCCAAGGACAGGGGACACCAACAGCAGCCAGATGGACTGGCCGATGGTGAAGGTGGAGCCGCCCGCGCCTGGGGACAGGGGACAGCAGGACAGGGTCACACAGGGTCACACAGGGTCACACGGGGTCACCCGGGGTCACCTGGGGTCACACGGGGACAGGGGACACCACAGGGTGACACAGGGTCACCCAGGTGTCACCAACACCAGCAGCAGCCAGATGGACTGGCCGATGGTGAAGGTGGAGCCGCCCGCGCCTGGGGACAGGGGACAGCAGGACAGGGTCACACAGGGTCACACAGGGTCACACGGGGTCACCCGGGGTCACCTGGGGTCACACGGGGACAGGGGACACCACAGGGTGACACAGGGTCACCCAGGTGTCACCAACACCAGCAGCAGCCAGATGGACTGGCCGATGGTGAAGGTGGAGCCGCCCACGCCTGGGGACAGGGGACAGCAGGACAGGGTCACACGGGGTCACACGGGGTCACACAGGGACAGGGGACACTGGGATGGTCACAAGGAGACACCAGGGGACACCAGGGGACGAGGGGACACCATCAACGCCCAGAGCAGCCGATGGATTTGTCACCGGTGAACGTGGAGCTGCCCAGCCCTGGGGGACACTGGGGACACCTGGGGACACCTGGGGGTCACCTGGGGACACGGGGGTGACGTGGGGTCCCTTGGGGACAGGGGACACTGGGACGGTCACAAGGGGACACCAGGGGACACCAGGGGAGGAGGAGATGCCATCAACGCCCAGAGCAGCCGATGGATTTGTCACCGGTGAACGTGCAGCTCCCCAGCCCTGGGGGACACCGGGGGTCACCTGGGGACAGGGGGGTGACACGGGGGTGACACGGGGGTGACACGGGGACAGGGGACACTCACGCTGGCCGCTGGCCAGGCTCCGGTTGTAGCCCACGGGGCTGAAGTACTCGAAGATGAAGACGGTGACGGCCACCACGGTGAGACACATGACGAACATCATCACCCACACGGCCGGGCTGTACGGCTCTGCGGGACACGGGGACATGGGGACATGGGGACATGGGGACATTGGGACATTGGGGACATCAGGGGACATGGAGGACATGAGGGGACAGGGGTGACACGGGACTACAGGGACATGGGATGACACAAGGGACACGAGGGGACACATGTGGGGACATGGAGGGCAGTAGGGACATTGGGTTTGGGGGTCCCAGGTGGGATTTTGGGGTCCCAGTTGGGTTTTGAGGGATCCCGGTTGGGTTTGGAGGATCCCGGTTGGGTTTTTTGGGGGATTTTGGGGTTTTGGGGGTTTTTTTTGGGGGTTTTGGGGTACCCAGGAAGGCGGACGGGGACACGGTGCCGTTGCTGCGGGACCCCATGACGCTGATGCCGGTTGGGTTTGGGGGATCCTGGTTGGGTTTGGCAGATCCCGGTTGGGTTTTTTGGGGGATTTTGGGGTTTTGGGGGTTTTTTTTGGGGGTTTTGGGGTACCCAGGAAGGCGGACGGGGACACGGTGCCGTTGCTGCGGGACCCCATGACGCTGATGCCGGTTGGGTTTTTGAGGGGATCCCAGTTGGGTTTTGGGGATCCTGGTTGGGTTTGGCAGATCCCAGTTGGGTTTTGGGGGTTCCCAGTTGGTTTTGGCGGATCCCAGTTGGGTTTTTTTGGGGGTTTTGGGGTACCCAGGAAGGCGGACGGGGACACGGTGCCGTTGCTGCGGGACACCATGACGCTGATGCCGGTCTCCACGAAGGGCACGGAGAAGTCGATGATCTCGGAGCGCTCCTCGTTGATGGTCAGCGAGCCGATGGCCATGTCGGCGCGCCGGTAGAACACCTGGGCGGGGCGGGGCGTGGTCAGGGGGCGTGGCCAGAGGGGCGTGGCCGAATGGGGCGTGGCCCAGGGACATTTTTGGGGTCCCTCCATGCCCTCCCCGTCCCCCCTCGGTTGCTCTCCCTGGGGGTCTCTCTCCAGCCCCATCGCCATGGGGTGTCCATGGTGGGTTTGGGGCATTTTTGGGGTTCAGAGGGGTGTTTTGGGGTTCATTGAGGTTCAGAGGGGCGGTTTTGGGGTTCAGAGGGGTGTTTTTGGGGTTCAGAGGGATGGTTTGGGGTTCAAAAGGATGTTTTGAGGTTCAGAGGGGTATTTTTGGGGTTCAGAGGGGTGTTTTTGGGGTTCAGAGGGATGGTTTGGGGTTCAAAGGGATGTTTTGAGGTTCAGAGGGGTGTTTTTGGGGTTCAGAAGGGTGTTTTTGGGGTTCAGAAGGGTGTTTTTGAGGTTCAAAGGGATGTTTTGGGGTACAGAGGGGTATTTTTGAGGTTCAGAGGGGCGGTTTTGGGGTTCAGAGGGGTATTTTTGGGGTGCAGGAAGGTGTTTTGGGGTCCCACCTCGCCCACCATGCCGTTCCAGACGCCGTCGATCTTCTTGCCGTGCTTGCCGTTGGTCACCAGGTACAGGTCGTAGGTGAAGCCCAGGGCGCGCGCCAGGCGCTTCAGGATGTCGATGCAGAACCCCTTGCAGCACTTCTTCTCGAAGGGCGGGGGGCTGCGGGGACCCCAGAAGTGGTGGGGACACCCCCAGGGTCCTTGGGACACCCCCAGACTGCTGGGGACACCCCCAGACTCCTGGGGACACCCCCAAGGTGGTGGGGACACCCCCAGGGTCCTTGGGACACCCCCAAGCTCCTGGGGACACCCCCAATGTGGTGGGGACAACCCCAGGGTCCTGGGGACACCCCCAGACTGCTGCGGAGACTCCCAGGGTCTTGGGGACACCCCCAAGGTCTTGGGGACACCCCCAGACTGCTGGGGTCACCCCCAAGGTGGTGGGAACACTCCCAGGGTCTTGGGGACACCCCCAAAGTGGTGGGGACACCCCTCAGGGTGTTGGGGACACCCCCAGACTGCTGTGGAGAGCCTTGGGGTCTTGGGGACACCCCCAGAGTGGTGGGGACACCTCCAGGGTCTTGGGGACACCCCCAGAGTGGTGGGGACACCCCCAGCCCCAGGGTCCTTGGGACAACCCCAGACTGCTGGGGTCACCCCCAAGGTGGTGGGAACACTCCCAGGGTCTTGGGGACACCCCCAGAGTGGTGGGGACACCTCCAGGGTCTTGGGGACACCCCAAAAGTGGTGGGGACACCCCCAGGGTCTTGGGGACACCCCCAGAGTGTTGGGGACACCCCCAGGGTGCCAGGCCCCTTGCCAGGGCCGAAGTGTCACTGTCCAGGGGGGCAGTGCCACCCCCACCTGTCCCTGGTGTCCCCAGCTGTCCCAGCTGTCCCCACCTGTCCCCGGTGTCCCCACCTGGCAGTGCCACCCCCAGCTGTCCCCACCTGTCCCCGGTGTCCCCACCTGGCAGTGCCACCCCCCCAGCTGTCCCAGCTGTCCCCAGCTGTCCCCCGTGTCCCCCAGCTGTCCCCATCTGTCCCCAGTGTCCCCACCTGGCAGTGCCACCCCCAGCTGTCCCCATCTGTCCCCCAGCTGTCCCCGATGTCCCAGCTGTCCCCACCTGTCCCAGCTGTCACCAGCTGGCAGTGCCACCCCCACCTGTCCCCAGCTGTCCCCCCAGTGCCCCCAACCTGTCCCAGCTGTCCCTGGTGTCCCCAGCTGGCAGTGCCACCCCCACCTGTCACAGGTGTCACCACTTGGCAGTGCCACCCCCATCTGTCCCCAGTGTCCCCCAGCTGTCCCTGCTATCCCAGCTGTCCCCCAGCTGTCCACAGCTGTCCCCAGTGTCCCCAGATGTCCCTGGTGTCCCCAGATGTCCCTGGTGTCCCCGATATCCCCCATCTGTCCCCGCTGTCCCGGTGTCCACGGTGTCCCAGCTGTCCCCATCTGTCCCCATCTGTCCCCGCTGTCCCCAGCTGTCCCCGCTGTCCCCAGCTGTCCCTGGTGTCCCCACCTGGCAGTGCCACCCCCAGCTGTCCCCATCTGTCCCCAGCTGTCCCCGGTGTCCCCCAGCTGTCCCATCTGTCCCTGATGTCCCCCATCTCTCCCCGGTGTCCCCACCTGGCGGTGCCACCCCCATCTGTCCCCGGTGTCCCCAGGTGTTCCCACCTGGCAGTGCCACCCCCATCTGTCCCCATCTCTCCCCGGTGTCCCGGTGTCCCCGCCTGGCAGTGTCACCCCCAGCTGTCCCCACTCTGTCCCCGCTGTCCCCCCGGTGTCCCCGCCTGGCGGTGCCACCCCCATCTGTCCCCGGTGTCCCCACTGTCCCCACCTGGCGGTGCGGTTGAGCTGGCGCCGGCAGGGCACGGAGTCGCGGATGCAGGTGCCGGTGGCGGGGTCGGTGCTCTCCACGATGACGAAGGGCCGCTCCTCCAGCGTGGCCACCGTCAGGTGCCGCCCGTCCTCCACGGGCTGCAGGAAGCGCCCGTAGCGCGACCACACCGGGTACTTGAGCCGGAGCACGCGCTGCTCCCAGCTGCCCCCCTGGGGGGACATTGGGGACAGGGCATTGTGTCACCGTGATGGGATGTCACCACCCACAGGGTGACCACAGTGACAGTGCGACCACACCGGGGACTTGAGCCGCAGCACCCGCTGCTCCCAGCTGCCCCCCTGGGGGGACATTGGGGACAGGGCATTGTGTCACCGTGATGGGATGTCACCACCCACAGGGTGACCACAGTGACAGTGCGACCACACCGGGGACTTGAGCCGCAGCACCCGCTGCTCCCAGCTGCCCCCCTGGGGGGACATTGGGGACATTGGGGACATGTGGGGACACATGGGGACATGTGGGGATGTGTCATTGTGTCACCGTGATGGGATGTCACCACCCACAGTGTGACCACAGTGACAGTGTGACCACACCGGGTACTTGAGCCGCAGCACCCGCTGCTCCCAGCTGCCCACCTGGGGGGACATTGGGGACATTGGGGACACCCACAGGGTGACAGGGATGTCACCACTGACAGTGTGACCACACCGGGTACTTGAGCCGGAGCACCCGCTGCTCCCAGCTACCCACCTGGGGGGGGACATTGGGGACACCCACAGAGTGACCACAGTGACAGTGTGACCACACCGGGTACTTGAGACGCAGCACCCGCTGCTCCCAGCTGCCCACCTGGGGACATTGGGGACATTGGGGACATTGGGGACATTGGGGACATTGGGGACATTGGGGACATTGGGGACAGGTCATTGTGTCACCGTGATGGGATGTCACCACCCACAGTGTGACCACAGTGACAGTGTGACCACACCGGGTACTTGAGCCGCAGCACCCGCTGCTCCCAGCTGCCCACCTGGGGACATTGGGGACATTGGGGACACCCACAGAGTGACCACAGTGTGACCACACTGGGTACTTGAGACGGAGCACGTGCTGCTCCCAGCTGCCCACCTGCGGGGACACTGGGGACATTTGGGGACACGTGGGGACATGTGGGGACACCCAGAGAGTGACAGGCCAATGTGTCACCATGATGGGCCAGATGTCACTGCTAGGGACAGTGATAGTGGGCAAGAGGCAGAGGAAATGTCACCGTGCCAGGGTGTCACCTTGGGGACAATGATCTGTCACCATGGTGGGGAACAGGCCAAGGTGCCACCATGATGTCACCGTGGCCAGGTGTCACTGCTAGAGACAATGATAGTGGCAGAGGAAATGTCACCGTGCCAGGGTGTCACCTTGGGGACAATGATGCCATCACCTGGTGGGGAACAGGCCAAGGTGCCACCATGATGTCACCGTGGCCAGGTGTCACTGCTAGAGACAATGATAGTGGCAGAGGAAATGTCACCGTGCCAGGGTGTCACCTTGGGGACAATGATGCCATCACCATGGTGGGGATCAGGCCAAGGTGTCACCATGAGGGGACATTGCTGCTGGGGACAATGACAGGGTCACCCTGGTGGGAAACCAGCCCAGGTGTCCCCGTGTCAGGGCAGGAGGCTGAGCCGTGTCCCCGTCACTGCCCAGGTGTCACCGCCGCCCCCGGGTGCCACGTTGTGGTGACAACACAGCGTGACAGCGTGGCAAGGGGGACAGCAGATGGCACCGAGCCCTGGGGACCCTGTGGTGGCATTGTCACCGTGCCCAGAATGGCGACACTGACGGGGGACGTCCCTGTGCCCACGGGGGACGTCCCTGTCCCCGTGGGTGATGTCCCTGTCCCCGTGGGTGACGTCCCCATGCCCACGGGTGACGTCCCTGTGCTCACGGGTGACGTCCCTGTGCCCGTGGGTGATGTCCCTGTCCCCGCGGGTGACGTCCCTGTGCCCGCGGGTGACGTCCCTGTCCACGTGGGTGATGTCCCTGTCCCCGCGGGTGACGTCCCTGTCCCGGTGACACTGATGGGGGATGTCCCTGTGCCCACAGGTGATGTCCCTGTCCCTGTGGGTGATGTCCCTGTCCCCGTGGGTGACGTCCCCATGCCCACGGGTGACGTCCCTGTGCTCACGGGTGACGTCCCTGTGCCCGTGGGTGATGTCCCTGTCCCCGCAGGTGATGTCCCTGTCCCTGTGGGTGACGTCCCTGTCCCCGCGGGTGACGTCCCTGTCCCCGTGGGTGACGTCCCTGTCCCCGTGGGTGACGTCCCTGTCCCCGTGGGTGACGTCCCTGTGCCTGCGGGTGATGTCCCTGTCCCCGTGGGTGACGTCCCTGTCCCCGTGGGTGACGTCCCTGTGCCCGCGGGTGATGTCCCTGTGCCCGTGGGTGACGTCCCTGTGCCCGTGGGTGATGTCCCTGTCCCTGTGGGTGACGTCCCTGTCCCCGCGGGTGATGTCCCTGTGCCCACGGGTGATGTCCCTGTCCCCGTGGGTGATGTCCCTGTCCCCGCGGGTGACGTCCCTGTCCCCGTGGGTGACGTCCCTGTCCCCGCGGGTGGCACTCACCACCTCCCAGGTGCGCTCCTTGTTGAGGGAGATGACGACCAGTGAGGGGTTCACCAGGTAGCCGTCCTCGTTGAAGGAGAAATCCTTCTGTCCCCACGTGATGTTCATGAAGTACCTGTGCAAGGTGACCCCGAGGGCGCCCAGGGTCACCTGGATGTCCCCAACCCAACTCCAAGCGTGGCCAGGGTCACCTGCATGTCCCCAACCTGACCAAACCCCAATCACAACCATGTCCAGGGTCACATGGATGTCCCCAACCCGACCCCAAGTGTGTCTAGGGTCACCTGCATGTCCCCAACCCAACCCTGAGAGCATCCAGGGTCACCTGGATGTCCGCAACCTGACCCCAAGAGTGTCCAGGGTCACCTTCATGTCCCCAACCTGACCAAACCCCAATCACAACCATGTCCAGGGTCACCTGGATGTCCCCAACCCGACCCCAAGAGCATCCAGGGTCACCTGGATGTCCGCAACCTGACCCCAAGAGTGTCCAGGGTCACCTTCATGTCCCCAACCTGACCAAACCCCAATCACAACCATGTCCAGGGTCACCTGGATGTCCCCAACCCACCCAAAGAGTGTTCAGGGTCACCTGTATGACCCCAACCCCACCTTGAGAGTGTCCAGGGTCACCTGGATGTCCCCAACCCAACCTCAAGTGTGTCTAGGGTCATCCAACTGTCCCCAGCCAAACCCCAGTCACAACCATGTTTAGGGTCACCCAACTGTTCCCAAGCTAACCCCAACCATGTCTAGAGCCACTTGAATGTCCCCAAACCAACTGTCCCCAACCATGTCTAGAGTGAAGTCTAGAGCCACCTGAGTGTCCCCAACCCAACTCCATGTCTAGAGCCACCTAAATGTCCCCAACCCAACTGTCCCCAACCCAACTGTCCCCAACCCAACCCCAACCATGTCTGGAACCACCTGGGTGTCCCCAATCCAACTGTCCCAACCCAAGTGTCCCCAACCCAAGTGTCCCAACCCAAGTGTCCCCAACCCAAGTGTCCCAACCCAACTGTCCCAACCCAACTGTCCCCAATCCAACTGTCCCCAACCATGTCTGGAACCACCTAAATGTCCCCAACCCAACTGTCCCCAACCCAACTGTCCCCAACCCAACTCCATGTCTAGAGCCACCTAAATGTCCCTAATCCAACTATTCCAACCGAAATGTCCCAACCCAAGTGTCCCAACCCAACTGTCCCCAACCATGTCTAGAACCACCTGAGTGTCCTCAACCCAACTGTCCCCGACCCAACTGTCCCCAACCATGTCTGGAACCACCTAAATGTCCCCAAACCAACTGTCCCCAACCCAATTGTCTCCAACCCAACTGTCCCAACCCAACTGTCCCAACCCAACTCCATGTCTAGAGCCACCTAAATGTCCCCAACCCAACTATCCCAACCCAAGTGTCCCCAACCCAACCCCAACCCCATCTAGCGCCACCAGCAACCCCCCAACATCCCCAAACCCCGCCTGCCGCGGCCCCACCTGTGCAGGTTGTCGTTGATCTGGGTGACGTTGGGCGCGCGGCAGTCGTTGTTGAACTCGGGGATGAAGCCGTAGTCGCGCAGCAGCGCCTCGGCGCCCTTGGCCACGATGGCCACGCCGTTGTGCACGCGGTGCTGCAGGTCGTCGCGCCAGCCGGCCGACAGCACGGCGAACAGCCCGGCGGGCACGTGCTCGGGCAGCTGCTCGCTGCCGCCCAGGTTGGTGCCCACCACGAACCAGATGTAGCCGGGCCCGGTGAGGCCGGCGTCGCGCGCGGCGCGGAACACGGCCTCGGCCTCGTCGCGCGAGCAGTAGAGCAGCCGGATCTGCGCCGACACCTCGCGCAGCTGCCGGCGCGTCCGCGCGCCCTCGGGGTCGTCGGTGAGGTTCAGGGTGACCACGCCGCGGTGCTCCCAGCCGATGAAGCTGCTGTCGGTCAGCACCTCCACGTAGTCCACGAAGTCCTCGTAGCCGGGCAGCAGCGTGGTGACCACGGCGAAGGCCGTCCAGTCGTACTCCTCCAGCACCTCGAAGATCACCTGGAGCTGCTGCTCCGTGGAGGAGCCCAGCTGCAGGAACGTGGAGCCCTTCTCCTGCCGAGGGGACACAGGTTGGGGACAGTCACGCTGGGGACAGCTGGGTCACACGAGACGTGGTTGGGGTCGGGGACAGTTGGGTTGAGGGTGGTCAGGTGGGGCTAGAACGTGGTTGGGGTTTGGGGACCTGTGCCAGCAGGTGATAAAACCCTGTCACTACCCCCAAAGCAACGAGGACAAACGCCTGTCACTGTCCCCAGAGCAATGGGGACAAACGGCTGTCACTGTCCCCAAGCCAGCAGAGACAAGCTGCTGTCACTGTCCCCACAATGGTGGGGTGACAAATCCGTGCTGGTGGGTGACAAACCCCTGTCACTGTCCCCAAACAGCAGGGGACAAGCCTGTGCCAGCAGGTGACAAACCCCTGTCACTGTCCCCAAACCAACAGGGACAAACCCCTGTCACTGCCCCCAAAACAGCAAGTGACAAACCCCTGTCACCATCCCCAGAGCAATGGGGACAAAATCCTGTCACCATCCCCAAAACAGCAGGGACAAACCTCTGTCACTGTCCCCACAACAGCAGGAACAACCCGGTGCCAGCGGGTGACAAACCTGTTATTGTCCCCAGAATAGCAGGGACAAACCCCTGTCACTGTCCCCAAAACAGCAGGAACAAACCGGTGCCAGCGGGTGACAAACGTGTGTCATTGTCCCCAGAATAACAGGGACAAGCCGGTGCCAGTGGGTGACAAACCCCTGTCACCGTCATCCCCAGAACAGCAGGGACAAACCTGTACCAGCAGGTGACAAACCTCTGTCACTGTCCCCAAAACAGGCAGGGACAAACCTCTGTCACCATCCCCAGAGCAACGGGGACAAACCCCTGTCACTGTCCCCAAAACAGCAGGGGACAAACCTGTACCAGCAGGTGACAAATCCCTATCACTGTCCCCAGAACAGCAGGGGACAAACCCCTGTCACTGTCCCCACAACAGCAGGGGACAAAGCCCTGTCACTGTCCCCAAACCAACGGGGACAAACCCCTGTCACTGTCCCCAAAACAGGCAGGGGACAAAGCCCTGTCACTGTCCCCACAACAGCAGGGGACAAAGCCCTGTCACTGTCAGGAACAAACCGGTGCCAGCGGGTGACAAACCTGTGTCATTGTCCCCAGACTAGCAGGGACAAACCGGTGCCAGCGGGTGACAAACCCCTGTCACCTTCATCCCCAGAACAGCAGGAGGGGACAAGCCCCTGTCACTGTCCCCACACCAGCGTGCCCAGTTGGTCCATCCTGGCCCCCCAGTCCGCTCCCAGTTCACCCAGTTGGTCCATCCTGGGTCCCCCAGTTCGCTCCCAGTTTACCCAGTTGGTCCATCCTGGGCCCCCCAGTTCGCTCCCAGTTTACCCAGTTGGTCCATCCTGGCCCCCCAGTTCACTCCCAGTTTGCCCAGTTGGATCCCAGCACCCCCAGTGTCACTCTGACACCTCCCCCCCCCAGCTGGATCCCAGTCCCTGCGAGTGCCCCAAACTGGTCACCAGTGCCCTCCCAGTTAAACTCCAGTCCCTCCCAGTCCCTCCTCCCCTCCCACTCCACAGCCCCGAGCTGGCTCCCAGCTCCTCCCAGTCTCTCCCAGTATCCCCCATTCCAGCCCTAAATCCCTCCCCGTTCCCCCAATCCCATTCCAGCCCCCTCTCTCCATCCTCTCCCAGTTCCCCCAGTTCCTCCCAAACTGGGTCCTGCCTTCCTCCCCATCCCCTCCCAGTCTCCCAGTTCCCCCCAGTCCCCCAAACTGGGTCCCAGCTCCCTCTCCATCCCCTCCCAGTTCCCCCAGTCCCCCAGACTGGGTCCCAGCCCCCTCTCCATCCCCCCCCAGTT